TAAAAATTAATTAAAAACCCTAACCTTACACAAAGTAGGTACAAATCTAACTAAACATATGTTACTGAAACCAAATAACTACAAATAATAATATTAATATCAAAATATTCAAAAAGCCAGAACAGTATTACAGATTATGTGTCCAAAGTTGGTGGACCCAAATGTGTGAGCCACCAAACTCTAGGCAATAATGAAGGCTATCTAAAGCCTAGGTAATTGTGCTGGAAGTTAATGAAAACATTTTCAAAGTGGAAACATAAGCTTTGGTGAAAAAAATTGAAAATATCTCCACTTCGCAGGAAATTAAAAAAAAAAAAAGGAAGAGAGCACAAACAAAATATGTCTTGACAATAGCACTGCGAAACGAGAAGTGATAGTTTGGTAGAATCGAATAGAGAGAGTCGCACTCTATTGGTGGAGGGTTGTCGCATGATGATTTGCATGCAAAAGGCAGTTAAACCACATTGATCTTAGGGTACTTGGGAGCTCAAAGCTTGTGGCATGTGAAAAAAATTTGCATATAGAAGGCAGCACTGAACGAGAATAGCTATTTATGTGAACGGAGGTAATGAACCATATCAGAAAACAGTACTTTATTAGTATTGATAAACTAAATCCAAATTTCATATTCTTGTCAAAGGCAGTAATTTCTCATTTCACTTTAAATAATTACAAAAATGTATTTAATTAGCAGCAACAACACTGTTTTCCAAACCACATACAATGTTTTAGATTAAAATGTGATATATTTAAACCTGAAAAATTTTCAAATGCATATTAAATATAGTTTCTAATTATTTTGTTCTACTTAATAACTGACAGAATTATCTTTAATGGATATCTTTTGGTGCATTAAAAAAGTGAAGTTACAGTTACCTGTTTGGATGAGAGGAAGGTAGCAAGAACTCAAACTGTGCTGCACATATACTTGGAGCCAGTTGAAGATGCTGAAGACAAGTCAGTTCATAGGAAATGTAAGCTCTTCTCACATACACCTGTACAGTTCGAAACAAAGTACCTTAGATAAACATTAGTTTGTTTTTATCTCAGCACAAGCCTAACTAGTGTGATCACCCTTTCTTTTTATTACTCAGTAAACTGTGTTTTCAGACAATTTTAGACAATTATATTATTTTAATTATGCAATGAAACTACTATCGTAGAAAACCTTCCTGAATTTACGTTTTATTGTTTTGAGTTCCAGCTTATACTGATTGGAAAATGCAACCTTTGTCTTGATTTATATAAGCTTAAAATAAATGTAGTTTCTGGAAGTTGTTTTACTTTAATATACAAAGGGTAAGTCAAAAGTCCCGTTTCTCTTAATGCTGAAGTCAAAAGTCCTGTTTCTTGTATTGCTGCAAAATAAATGAGGAATATCAAAAACCTTTGGCATAGGCATATTGGGGGCCATTTATTACCTGACACGTGATGTCATGATATAAAGTTTAATCAAAGTAAACCAAATACATAAATTTGCATAACCTCATAGTTCATCTTGCATTAAAGTAAAATATTTTTAATTTAAAAATTGCAAATTATTTAGAAACCTATAAGAAAAACGTTTCTGTAATAATATTGTTGAGTGCTACAACTTTTGTATTGATAAATTTTACTTCTGACTAATAGTTTCAGAGAAAGAATTTGATTGACCTTGATTTGACCTTTATACCAGGACAGATGTCAAGTAAGAAATGGCCCCTAATATGTTGAAACACCCTACATCAGAAGATTTGTAATATTCTATACCTACTTCATAACAGTAGAAAAAAATTGTAACTTTTGATTCACCCAGTATATCTTCCAATACAATAAAACTTAGGAAATTCTGCATTGTTTCCATCTTGAATTTATCTTTAATAATAATTCAAATTTAATTTTATTCCACATCTGCTTCACAACCATAAGAAAAATCAGTACTTATGACTCACCCACTATATTCCCCAATATGCTTAAACTTTGGAAAATTCTGCATTGTTTGAGCCTTAAAGAAATACAAATGTCAAGACACTTGAAGAGTGTAAAATATAAAAATACTTGCACTATCACGTGAGGTGTTGAAATGAAAATCTTGAAGAAACTTAT